CTGACTCTAATAGCAAGGGGAATAAAAGCAAAAGTGGACAAATGGGTCTATATTGATTGCAAAGATTCTGCACAGTGAAAGACACTATGTTTTAAACAAAAAGACACCCTACTAAAAGGGAGAATGTCATGCATTTGACAAAGGGCTAATATCAAAAATCTAGAAAGAACACATAGAAATCAACAAAAACAACCCAATCAAAAAATGAGCAGAAGAACTAAATAGACACTTTTCCAAATAGGACATATATTTTGACCAATAGGAATATGAACAATTGTTCATCATCACTTATCAGGGAACTGCCAGTCAAATCCACAATGAGATACCACCTGACTCTAATAAGAATGTCCAATATCCAAAAATCAGAAATTACAAGTGTTGGGGAGGCTGTGGAGACAAAAGAACCCTCATACATTGTTGACAGGAATAGACTAGTCTAGTTCCAATGGAAAACACTATGGATGTCTCTCATTAAAAATAGATCTACTGTATGATCTAGTAGTTTCTGTCCTAGGTATCTACTCCCAAAATTTAAAAACACTTATTTGAAAGGATATATGTACTCCTGTGTTCATTATAATTCTATTTACAATAGATATGTTATGGGAATAGACTACAAGCCCCTAGGACAGATGAGTGTATTAAGAAGATTGGTATACAACCTTTGAAAGTTGATCATGCACTGAAACATTTGGGGAGGGAGGGAGAGCAGGAGGGGTGAGAACAGGGTGGGGAGAATACAGTGGACTATGGTGGAAGACAGTGTGTGCTTTTGTGGAGGGTGTGCTATAGTGAGCACACCTGAAGGGAGAGAGCCTGTACTTCCAAATTGCTAACAATGAGGTAAACCAATGGTACTTCAATTAAAAAAAAATACAAAACAACTAAATAGCTCTCCCCCCATAGATGTGGAATATCTTCACAACGGAGTATTATTCAGCTACAAAAAAAAAGATGAAATCTTGCCATGTGTGACAACATTCATAGAACTGGAGGGAGTTATGCTAAGCAAAATAAGTCAGATGGAGAAGAAAAGGTACTGGATGATTTCACTCATATGTGAAATATTAAAAACAAAGGAACAGACAAAACTAAACTAAAACAAACCCTTGAAATCTGAGTGCTGTACTGAAACTACCAAAAGAGGAAATTGGGGGTGTGGGTGGAAATAAGGGAAATGAGGTAACAATGGTCTATGGTAGAAAATTATTTGGGCTTGGGTGATGGGTATGATGGAGTAACATATATTTGAAAAGGTGTCAGCTTTTACCATTACATAATACATAGTGTGATAAACTTAGAATAAAAATACAATACAAATACAACCCTAATAAAAATATAATAAAAATCAAATAATGCTAATAAAAATAATATGTAATAATAGAGACATCAGTAATAATTTCCAATTATTTAGATCATTAATTTATATTAGTAATTATAATTTATTATATAAATTAATAAAATAGTAATTTTATAGGTATATAATTTTATAATACTTTATTATATAAATTAATAAAATAGTAAGAGGTATTTGCACTTCACTGTTGCCAAAAGAAGAATTTAAGCCATATGCCAAGGTCCGTAGAACAATTTACAGACAAAACTTTTAATGTTGAGTGAATTGGGGCAAAGAATAAAACTGAATCTTTGGGTGAGGTTGGAACACAAAGTGCAGGAAAAGTTTGCTATTCTTGTAGAGATGGGTCACACACTTTTAAGCTTTCATGTAACCTGTAAGAAAAAAAAATATATTATGAGTTACATAATTCATAAGACCCATAATCTAGTTGCCTTGGCAACACAGATACTAATAGCAAAGAAATACTTCCTCTAGGTTTCCATTGAGCAGGCACTGTTTAACTTAGGGAATATTATTTAAATTCATCTCTTACAAAGAGTAAATTAATTAGTTACATATAACTACTTCTTATGATATCCCTCAGTATACACTGTTGGCATCCAACTAAATTACAATTTAAAGAAAACTATTTTACACTTATGAGGATAATTATATATTGATGGTAGCCATATCCCTAGTCTGTAACAGAGAGTAGCAAGATCCTTGTCATTTTTGTCACAAATCAAGTAAAGAAATGCATTGAGGAGACACTTATTATTTACCAGTCTTAACATTATACATGTGGTATTTGTGGAAAATAATTCGCAAACATCTACATCAGTCTAAAAGTTTTAAAATGTAATAAAAACCATTAACTTGCCTAGGATAGAGGTGTGGTAAATGTATAGGTTTTCTATACTGATTTAACCTAAAGGGGAATTAATTGGATTATGCAATCATGCAATGTGTGTTTCTGGCTTACACATGGCTGCCTCCAGAAGTCTACATGACGTGATTAGGATTATGATTCATAATCACCAGACTTGTTCACCTTTGCTTATATCTAGATGTATTCCCTTCTTGGGATAACAGGAGCTCATTACCTTTGCTGGTTATGGTCATTGAGAGTTGTTTTGTTTTTAATCATAGGTCAGAATTCTGAGGAAATCTATTGTTCAATTTATTACTGGGGCCTGGATAATGTGATTTTCTGTTTGTCCTTTTTTGTGCCATGGGTAACAGATGCTAGTTTATCTTCACCAGTGGAATAAGTATGAGATGTCCAGACTAGAGAACTCTGATGAAAAACAACTAAGAACACTATTTACAATAGCTAAGCTTTGGAAACAGCCCAAATGCCCAAAAATAGATGACTGGATCAAGAAGATGTGGTACATATACACCATGGAATATTACTCAGCATTCAAAAAAGATAAACACATGCAATTTGCAGCAACATGGATGGCGCTGGAAGGGATCATGCTCAGTGAAATAAGCCAAAAAGAAAAAGAAAAATACCGGATGGTCTCACTCATAGCAGGAATCTAGAATACTTAAATAAGGGACCAGGAAAATGAATAACTATAAGAAAGTGAAAATCAAAATCAACAAAAACTATGAACCAGAGACACTTTTTGGGAGGTGGGGGGCGGGAGGTGAGGGATTGGGGTCAGAATGGGGGGATTGCAATTGTATGGGGAATATAAAAATAAAATTTATTAATTAAAAAAAATAAAAATAAAAATAAACTTAAAAAAAAGAAAAACAACTAAGAACAGTGAAACTTGTTTGTTCTTTATAACAATCTTTTTTTTGTTAGGGTATATATAATTTGGTAACAAAAAATCTAAGGCAAATGTTATTAACCATTCTAGGGTCTATCTCTTGGTTCCTTCTGCATTTTATTTTAAATGGTATCTTCAATTTTCAAAAATATTGTTCATGTTGGCACCTTTCCTAGTTTTCTAGAAATAAGCCAGTTGAGGGAAAATATATTTATTGATCAGAGATTGTTAGTGTTCCCAATTCTACATGTTCCCTATGTTCATGATATTAAATGAAGCAGATAATGTCAGGTGGGCATGTGACTCCACAATAGTAGACTAGATTTCCATTATCTGGTAGTGCTATGACTAAGTTTGTTTAAATAGGATATAGCAGAAGTGGTTTGTACAACTTCTAATTAAACACACAGCTCGTTACCTGTGACAATTTCAAACCTCTCCTTTGCTGGACTAGAACAGAGGATTTAAGAAGAGATCTAACCTTGACCATGCAAATGATAACATCTGTAATTCTTAATTTCATGAGGTCCATCAATGAAAGAATTTGTGGAGAGAATCCAAGTGGGGCATGAATGTGGAAAAGAATAGTTATAAGTTATAATGTGAAATAGAATAGTTAATTTTCACTATCCTATATCTAAAAATTAGCATTCATTTTAATTATAAATATAGGAAAAGGCCATTGCAGTCATAGCAGTATCTATGCCTTATTCAAGATATAACAAATCTTTTCTTATCATATTATAGTTGAGTATGCATCAAGATAGTGTTTATGTTTATCCTTACTGGGGAATTTTGGTAATTTTTAGATAAACCACTTAGTCTTGAAATTTAATGTGCTAATAAAGAACCATATATATTCATATGTCATGAATTTACTCTCGATATTTTAATATAAATGGGTATTTTATTATAATTCTATTTTATATTGTTCAATTAAAATATTAATCAAAGGTATTCATGAACTTTTGAGTAGAGCCAAAGGCATCCATGGTTCAAGAAGCGCTGTTGTCTCACCACTGTGCTATCACTGTGTATTTGTTTTCCAGGGCTGCAGTAACTAAGTACCAAACAATAGAATAAAATTGGTCTCACAGATCTGGGTGCTGGAAATTTGAAATTAAGGTTTTGGCTGGACAGTGCTCTCTCTTACTTCTAAGGGAGTCCTTTCAAGCCTCTTTCAGCTTCTGGTACCCTCCAGGCATTCCTAGGCTTATAGATGCTTGACTCCAATCTCTGCTTTCTTCTTGACTTGGAATTCTTCCTGTGCATCTGTTTGTTCATTGGGTCTTCCCTCTTTTAAAAGGCCACCAATTATTTTGAACTAAGGGCTCATGCAAATCCAGTATGACCTCTTAACTAATTATACCTGCGAAGACCCTATTTTTAAATAAGACCACATTCATAGATACTGGGGCCTAGGGTTTCAAGATCTCTTTATGGGGGACGCAACAGAATCAATAATGCTTGGGAAGAACATGCATTTTTCATGTAATTTAAATCATTCTATGAGGCCTCTATTTTGTAAGTTTAGTCTGAGGTTGGATAAAAATATACTTTGTCACCAAAATTAAGATAACTCAAATTTAGATATTAACAGAACACCCATCAAGTTCTGATTGCTCAACTAAATAATTATCCCTAGTATTTTCCAGTCTATATTAACTGTATTCTCTGATCAATTGACAGAATAATTCCTGAAGGACAGGAGTCCAATATATATCCTATTTTTGTTAATAAAATTTTATTGCAACATAGTCACATTTATTTATGTATCATCTGTAGCTGCTTTCACACTACAATAGCAAAGTTGTATAGTTGCCACAAAGACTGTCAGCACACAAAACCTAAAATATTTGCTCTCTGATCCTTTACAGAAACAGTTTGCCAACCCCTCTTCTTGAACATGAGAGGAATGAGCAAGAAGTTTGATTTTGTCCCACTTGTTCTCTGTGCTATGAGGATGCAAGAATCATCATTTCCGAATTTGAAGGACAAACCAGGTAGGAGAACATGACCACACCTTAATCTTAGTCTATGGATTACTTGGAACACAACATTTAGTCAGAGGACAGATACACCTGTCGTTGAAATATATTATCTAATGGTAAAACCAGACAGAAAGAGAACACACAACTGATAGGTTTTCTTAATAAGGAGAAAGCAATAATAAATTAAAGCTTCTGTTAATAAGAAAAATGATTATTTCAAATCAAGAGCAAAATTCTAATACCAACAATCTTCAGTATACTTGCGTATTTCTTACTTCCACTAGCATTATTAATGGGGCTATGGTTTGACCTGACAATGAGAATAGCTTCCCTTGTGGCATTTTGGCAGTTCTATTTCTGTTCTTTGAGAAATAAAGAAGCAGACAAAGGATAAAAATCCTTACTTGAGCTGCTGAAACAATAACACAGTGTGAAGAATTTCCAGTTACTCAGGAGCTCAAAGGATCCCATTTTTGTGGCACTTGAGTACTGGATACTTGATGGACACTCACTGAAAAGACTTTAGTGCCTTGAAATCAGCATTCATTTGGGAGACTAGCACTGCCTTTGGGGTTCTATAGACAAGGGACTATAGCAATGAAATTTTTTTGGAGAGGAAAAAAATATCTCATGTGTAGCAATCACTGAAGGCCACAGTCTAGCAGCTAGTATGTTGTGTTTGGGTGCATTGTGGAAGTAATAGGGAACTTGGAAATCAGAGACTCAGCTAAGCTATTACAGGTACCAGGACTTTATTGCCTTAGCCACATTCTCTTGGGCTTACTGATCAAGAAAATGTTCTAATTTATAATGTTGTTATTTTTAATAAATATTTTTCAACATAGCTGGGGAGGGAAAGTAGATAAAACAATAAAGCTGACACTAATTTAAGAATAGGACTAAGATACAAAGGATTACAGTAATTGGCAGAATTTAGTGGGACTTGAAAAAAATGCTAGAAAACCTAAGTCTTGAAAGCATTATTGACATTTCTAGTAGATAGACATTATCCTACTCCCATTCTGTTCTTGACCGGAATGATGATATCCCTTGATCTAACCCATAATGAATCACCTTTAAAAGACTTTTTTCTTCTGTTATCTTCTCAATTCTCCCCACCCCCACACACCCAGTTTTCATCTTCTCTTCTTTTTTCTATCTGTCTTTATTAAAAACAGATTCTGTTTGGGTATTTTCATCTTCATAGAGACATGACAAATGTTACTACACACTATACCATGGGAAAAGAGCTTAAAGTGTAACAAAAGACTCATTAGATACTTTCTGAACTCTACATTAAGGAAAGTGAATTTTAAAGTGAGTAGAATAATATTTAAGAAAGATCCTTGAAGCATAACCAGTGAGGTTCTAAATAATTTACCCAAAGCATTCATGACCGTATTTAGAAAGTCCAGGGGAACTCCTTATCAGGCATCCTAAGTGTGCTCTGTATAAACCTTGATCTTCAAAATGCAATCCATGAAAGGAAAAAGAGTGGGCTAAGCTAAAGTAGTAAACAAACCTGGAGGAAGGAAAGTAGAAGGGTTTTAGAGGATGAAGAAGAGAACATTTGGGAATAGGAAGTGTTAGATGGGGAAAGTAAATTGAAAAGAAAGGTAAAAACCAGACTGTAAAAGAACTTGGACATTTATTTACTGTAATTTAGCAATTATCTACCTATTATGTGCTCTCTCCAGTGAAAATACTTTTGGAACAAATATGTAAGACATATCCCATCCTTAAGCAGTGTATAGCCCTGTGGTAGAGATAGGCAGATAAACAATTTCAATTCCAAATGATAAGCATTAACACAGAATGCCCAAGTATGAGAAATCAGAAAATAGATACTTTAAGGAAATGCTCCTGGTGGGAATGATGCCTACAACATGCTCTAAAGACTGCGTAGAAGCCAGACTGGTTTAGAAAGTTGAGAAGGGCATCTTATGCAGAGGGGCTGGGATGAAAACCATAAAAGGGAAAGGTGAGACATATTCACTAGCAATTCAGTATTACTACAGCATATATCATTAAGTGTAGAGGTTATTAAATCAGCTTAGAGATTCTAGAAAGCCCCAGGTATTTGAGTCTTTGAATGCCAGCTAGGGAGACCTACAGACAAGAGGGAGATAATAGGAGTTTAGGGTAACAGTCATACATTGAATTATTGTGAGTTAGAGTGGATAACAATTTAAAAGCAAGACTGTATGAATATAGGAAGTCTGGAAAAAGAGGGGAGAATTGACCAGATTGGTGGTTTTAACACTTGGAAACTCATCATAAATGTAGATTTTATGTCTGTGTAACTGAGAGATTTATGTCACCATTAACAGGGGAGAAGGAGTCAAAAAGCCTTTTTTAGTTTTAGAATGTGATGAGAAATTTAAATTTTGATTCAGATACATGAGTATGTGGTACTTATGAATATTTACATTATCATTATTATGCCCTTATGAATGTGTAAAAAATTGATCTGGTATAAAGCATCAACTCAAATTTATTTATTTATTTATTTATTTATTTTTTAAAGATTTATTTATTTATTTATTTATACAAGCACTGGGTACATTCAGAAGTGTGGGAGGGTGAGAGAATTCACCAGAGCCAGAGCGGGGAGCAGAGCAGGCAGAAGGACTGAAGTACACTGCTGAGGGGAGCAGCGGGCGGCAGGAGAGGTCTACGCGCCATGTGGGACCCTCCTCCGGTGGCCGGGGAGCAGCCGGGGATCGAACCGGCGTGCAGAGGCTGCGGGCAGCTTCCCAACCCAGCGCTCAACAGCTGCGCCACCGGGGAGGCCCTCAACTCAAATTTAAAGTGACAGGACAATCTAGTAGAAAAATTAAACAGGCAGTTAGAAATTCAATTTTGAGTATTTGGCAGACTCTTGTGATCATCATAGGCCTTGAGTTCAGGTTTAAGGCACATTAGACAAATTTCTAAAATACTGGTGTATAGCAATATATTCTTTTCCTAAAAAATATCCAATTTTATATTTTTGGAGTTTAGTTCTCCTACACCCTTTGTAGAAAAGACCATTTGAAAATAGCCATTCTCATCCAAATACTCAGCATTGTATTACAATTTTGCTTATTAGACTTAATATGGAAAACAATTACAGAAATCAGAAATGTTACCTACCTGTCCTCTATGCAAATTTTAGGCTTATCTCATATGCAGTAATTTTCAGCATTTCATTAGTAGAAGCCTGTACTCATTTTCCTCCCAACTAATATCTTGATTATGAATATACAAGCAACTGGTTTCCACTGGTGCTAAAAAATTGTTGAGAAATTTGGAAGACATAGACACTTATCTTACTGCTGGAACACACACTTAAAGAGAGAGGGTCTTTATATATCTCTTCCCATTGCCAAGAACAATGAATTTGCAGTAAGTCATATTCTGTTGAATAAATTCATTAATTTGTAAATTGATGATTTATGAATAATACATCTATTTAATGGAATTTTTTCTAATAATTTAGTTATATGATTGCTTTATTTAATGCCTTCAATATCTGGCATATGAAAACTTTCTGGGTAAGTGAATGTTTTAGGTAGCTGAAGCTAATCTCTCAAACCTCTTTATTTTAGCCACTTTTGATAAACATCTTTTCAAAATTGTATTACATACTTAGATTCGAGAATAGGTTTGAATTGATTTAACCATTTCATGATGACTCAAGTCCATTATAATAAACATTAATCACTGTACTTTGCAGCAAAACAATGTAGACCTTAGGGACCATTGAATTAGACAGAATGGTTTGCATCTAATATCTAATGGACACAAATTGCAGCATTTTTCTGGTTGGTCTTCTGTTCTCTACTGCTTTTCTTCTGTCACCTGTCACTCTTAGTTGCCAGGGAAACCAGACAACCACATTTGTTAAAACAGTGATCTTAATATTAAACATGTAACACCTGAATCTGCATTTGTTACATGGATTCTCCCAGGTAACTGATTTCATAGACTATGGTTAGTTGTCATATTCCCCTTTTCAAGCACTCCTGGAAATTTCTGTAATGAGAAAAGATACTTTTGAAAGTTACATTGTGATAATTAATACATAATTATAATAACTCATATTAAATAATGTTTGTAAGTTCCATTAGGCATTGAGATTTTTTGGTATCATTTCTTCTTCCTTCATAAAGATTGATGATGTATTTCCTTTCCTGCACTGATATTGTAGACACTTTGTGTGTGTGTGTGTGTGTGTTTGTAAGTGTAAAAAGTGTCCTTGCTTTGGAATCCAGTCTATTTATCTTGATTCCATATTACTCTTTTTTCCCTTTGAATTTATATATCAGGCATTATGGAGGGTAAATAGCTTATTACCTTCCCTATGTCAGTTCTTACATACAAGACACATTAGAGTCAAAAATGATCTTTCAGATCTGTTCAACTCAGTTATCCATATGCTTTAGACATCCTTTCCTAACATTTACTTTGGTTTTCCTGAAATCCTCAAACCCCATGGCTTACATTTAGTCTCTATTAAAATTCTCTCTGACTCATGGATTAGAAGAATTAACACTGTTAAAATGGCCATCTTATCCAAAGCAATATGCAGATTCAAAGCAATCCTTGTTAAGTTTCATTGACATTCTAAAAGAAATATAAAAACCATGATAATATCAATAGATACCGAGAAAGCTTTTGACAAAGTGCAACACCCACTCATGATAAAAGCCCTTGAAATTCTTGGGATACAAGGAACATAACTCAACATCATAAAGGCCATATATGACAAGCCAACAGCCAATATCATTCTCAATAGTGAAAAGCTGAAAGCATTTCCATTAATATCTGGAACAAGACAAGGATGTCCACTCTCACCACTGCTTTTCAATATAATCCTGGAAGTCCTAGCCAGAGCAATAAGACAAGAGAAAGACATCCAAGGAATCCAAATAGGAAAAGAAGATTCAAACTATCACTATTTGCAGATGATATGATAATATACATAGAGAACCCCAAAAGCTCCACAGAAAAACTAATTCAACTCATCA